TGCAAAGCCTGTCTAAGTTCTGCTTTTCTTTCATTCAGTGTTTAACACACTACATCCAATATTTAATACAAACACATAGTGTCTGGCTGTTGTAGTTTTGCATAAGCAAATGCTTAATTTCCCACTAAATATAATCATTGTCCTCTCTGTGCCTTAATTTTGTCATAGGTAAAATAAAGAGTCCAGGAAAAAACTCTCTCTGCAGGGCAGTCCCATGCTTCTAGGGCAATAGAAGACTAAAATATGAAAAGTTAATACATGAATTAAATGAGTATCGGCCAAGGAATTTATAGTAAATGTTACTGAAAGACATAAACACTTGCATACAATTTACTTTTGCCAGGCACAGTGGCATAGGCCTGCGGACCTCAGTCACTTGGGAGGCTACAGCAGAAGAATCATTGGAGCCCAGGAGTTTGAGGCTGCTGTGCACTATAATCTTGCCTGTGAATAGCCTGCTGCTGTCAAGCCTAGCAACATAGCAAATCTCTATCTCTACAATACAAAAATAAAACAAAATAAGTTATATAGATATATATGTTACCTTTGATTGTGTTTGGTGATTTTTGTTGAAAATAATGTCGTTTTTATAAATGTGCACAAGTCAGAAGAAATGGAGAAATGGGTGCACCACCCTTTGTGGTACTGGAAAATAATATATTAAGCTCTTGAACTAAGTAAAGTGTAAGACCTTATTGGCAATAAGTCACATGTATACTTATCTACCTTTTTGGCCATGATATGAGATTATGAAGTTGATCATAAAGCTGATCTCATATCAAAGTGATTCCCTTGCTATATGTGATTCTTAGAATTGGCACTGATATTTATCTAGACCGTTATAATCTTGAATTAAACACCTTAAAAGTTATATTGAGTCTGTTTTCTCAGAGCATGCACATTCAAAAGTTTTCAGGTCAAACATTTAGACCATTATAATAACTGAAATCTAAGCAATTAACTAAGAAATCAAATGATCTGCCCAACTGATTCATTGAGATATGTGAAATATCCAAATGTGACCATTAGCTTAATAATCAAATCCTTTCCTTGCTTCTTCATAGAAAATCGTAATTAAAAAGCAGTAATGCTGCTTTTAACCAACCCCCTTTTAATATCTGAATAAATCCTGTATTAAACTATCAGGTATTAAATATATGTCAAAATAACAACTGAGTAATAATACCTTTGAATTACGGTGTACTATAGCACAAATGTTAATGTAATTTTTTTATTTGCCTGGATTACCTGATGTATATAGCACAATTTGAACTTTATGAAATCTGACCCAAGCTTTCTTAGTCTGGCGTTATTTCCATTTCTTGTAAATCCTACTCCTCCATTTCCAACAATGAGAGGTTATTTGCCAAACTAGCATATTTCCATAACAGACTTAAAGTTGTCTACCTATATTACAGGGGAAGTTATTAAGTATTTCATTTTCTTTAGTATTTTGTGAGGCTTTAAGAGGGCATAAAAACCCACCTACAATTCTGGCAAGCTACTTTTCGCAGAGAAAGAAGCATGAAGCAGTAAGTAGAAAATGACTAACAAACTGTATTTTTAAATTATCTGTAGTTGAGAGTAAGCCTACGAAACACGTTCTCTTCAGAATCTTGACATGCTTTTGACAATTTTGGTTGTTCCTTAAATAAGGGTTATCTGCACAGGTTACATAATCCATTTACTAGTCTATCTGATTTGTTGTTAACATGCTCTTCAATGTCATCAGTATTTATGTTGAAAGTGCTGTCACTGAAGTGCTTTGCTCATGTTAATTGATAAAAAGAAACTTCTTCCCACCATCCTACCTCTTTTTGAAAAACAACATACTGACATGCCAAATTAATTTAACTTTAAATAATATATTGGCTACATATTAAACATTTTAACACATAGTTTAAGCATGTGGGGCTTTTACTTGTTACATTGCTAACACTCAATCTAACAGACTAAGGCTAATATTGTGAAAATAAAGTATGACATGTTGCAAATATTTAAATGAGTTGTAAAGAGAAAACAGAGTTAGGAATATCATCTGAATCATAATAAAAATAATAGGAAAGCTGTAACAGCTTTATGATTATTTTTCCTCTCAACAAATAGCTGAGAGATTTGCAAAAACGGTGTGTGGAATGACAGTACTGCCTTTGAAGCATATAATTTTATAATAAAAATGTTTTAAATTAAGGAATTGCCTCGGGTAGATTATGATGATAATTGTGATATTTTTGTGTAGAGAAAAGCTACATAAAAGTAATGTTTATTTTCAAAGAAAGCAAAAATATTTCAAATAAAGCAAAAAGGATATATGTGCATTTACAGTTATTTACATTACATTTTAAATTAATGACCTTTACATTAACACAAATAGCTTTTAGGTTATTGGAAAGTGTAATTTATATATATATTAAATAGATTACAAAGGTAAGAAAATAACTGCATTAGTGAAAAATGGTTTTGACATTAAGTTTAAAAAATTCTTATTCTAATGTCAAAATGTGTATTGAATGCTCCTCACTATCCATAGTCTGGATATATATCAAGCTTTTCTTTTGATGATTAAAGTGATTGATAACAGTAAAAAAAATACTTCTTAATTTATTGTATTATTCAGTATATTGCAAACCGCTACAAACATAAACAGAAAAAGGAAAGAGTGTTGTGCAAAATGGAACAAAGTTGTATATAGTGAATTCCATTAAAAACCTACATTAAAATTTTTAAAATCTTTGTACCAAAGGAAGAAGAAATGGTGATGCCCTCCCATTTCTCACTGAACAGCCTTACATGGTTTTCATTTGCCTTGTTTCATCCTTCACTTGGACAGAAACCTCCTAACTGTTTTCTTTTATGCTTTTTTTCCCTCTTGTCTCCACTCCAGCATACATTCTCTCTCTCTATCTCTTCCTGTGGACTCCGCAATAAAAGCTACCCCAGTTGTCTCATTTTTATAAGACTTGCAGACGTCTGCCAGTGGCTGATAGGAAATGCTGATTGAGAAAGGGTTTATCTACTTTTCATCCAAAATATGTGAACCATTAAGGAAATTATAAAATGCAGTAACAATATACTCTGGTTTTATTCAGTTCTCTCCCTTAGTGATTATTAAAAGGGTGATATTTTTAGCCAAAGAAAGCAAAATGCATCTGCAGCAGCTGGTTTCCAAGGAAACAGAATAATTTAAAACCATGTGGAACTCTGCTCTCTAATTTTCATCAATTCCCCTTCATTCCTGGAGGTAGCTTTACTCAGAATTTATAATTTCTAAAAAATATAGTTGCATTGATTTATTTCCTCTAACACATTTTAGGAGACGAATAGCTGGCCTTATATATCACCTTGAATTCCAATCTTGGGGTGAGGGGTGGATTAATTTCAACCATTGTTTTGCTTGAAAAACCATAATCAGAAAGATCTATCAATAATTAGAAATATGCTAAAATTTCAATATTATGTAATAATTTTTGAAATCCAGAAATAGTTCAAAATAAATCATGCCAGAAATTTACTTGGGTCATTATGACACTTAACCATATAAATATGTTATTAACTATATTTAGCATGTTTAGAAAATTTAAGTTACTTCTTTATTCATTTAGATAATTCAAACCTAATATTCAGCAATTTTCTCCCTCTTAATTTTGCAAGAACTATTATATTTGTGTCTGTTTATTCAAAGACAAAATCTCTGTCACACACACACAAAAGTACAATAAATAAACAAATTGAAAAACAAAAACAAAAAGAAAAAACAACAGCAAAAATATTTAGAAATTATATAGTTATTGTTGTTAGTTTTCATTCAAAAAAGTATTAAAATATGTAGCAACAAATTATTTACCTCACTGAAAGATTTTTATTTTATTATTGTAATCAACAAGTATTAATTGATTGCCAGTGTACCCGTCAATAATAATTCTTGAAAGCTCAATTTTAATGAGGTTCCACCACCATTAAATGATCTATATGAATTAAAATAACAGTAGAATTAAGTGACTGGGAGTTCAATTTTTTGTATGTTTTTACTATAAGTATATTATTTATTCTACATACTTAGAACTTGTCTCTATTTTCCCTAAGGGAAAATAAAGGACCATGTTAGGAGATATAAGCAACTAGTAAAGTAACACCTTAACTTTAAAGTTGTTAAAAAAAATATTGCCTGGAGACATTATCAACAATATAAATGCCCTGATGGAATTCTTAGCTAGATGTGTTTGATTGATAAATGAAACTACCCAGTGAAATATGCATGTTATGAAGCTAATTTTTATAGCAGTGTTTAATCTTTCAAAATTAGATTTCTGAGATTTAAAATAAAATTGGCTCTATGTAAGTTAACAAATACAGAGAGTTGTTTAGCCCATAGATTAAAGTTTACTGAATAAAATAATGCAAATATTCAACAACATGAGATTTATCAAGAGGAGTAAGTTAAATAAAAGGGCTTAAACACACACAAATCACTCATTCTAGATTAGTGCTAAAAGAGCCTATGACCTGCAAAAAAAATTTTCCTAAGCCTTTTACTGTATTGTCAATATTAAAAGCCACCACATAAAATTGTACATTGTATATTCAGAAAAGGCTCCATTTTCTCAGGACCTGTGGAATTTACGGAGGTTTTCTCATCCTTCCTGCGATTCCTAGTAACATACGCTTGAATTTAAAATTTTTTTAAACACAAATGATGATTCATTTTATCTATTAATTTTGCTTCAATGGCACTTGCACAGAAAGCTATTTAGGATAAGACATGCCTCTAGTGATTGTTTTGTTTTGTTTTTAATGAGCTAAGGGTTTTGCAGGGAGAAAGAACAGCTAGCTCATTGCAAAGCTTCCTTAAGTAATAAAAGGGACACACTTTCAGAAAATGTCCTCAGAATAATTTTCCTATTATAAAATTGTTTCAATAAAAATTGAGAAGCATTCTCTTCTAAAGAAAAAAAAAGAATTTTCTTTTTTTTAAGGTTTTGTTTTNTTTTTTTTGCTCTTACCTGTAAATATGGTTTCTGTACTTCGGCTCCGTCAGAACACACTGGAGAGAGTTCACTCCTCCCTCGTCTATCCATCAGGCGGCAGCCAACCAATAACAAAAGCCAGATCCTGGCATTCTCTAGCTCGTGCTTCCTGCTTTGCTTCCATTCCTTGTTCCCTCCCACCCCCACTCTTTTAGAGGACAAATCCCTGCAGCTGGGAGAGAGGAAGGGAGCGAAGAAAGGAAATATGGAGAAAAAAGCAGAAATGCAAGATATTTTTAAAAATTGCTCCAAACTATGGGAAATGTCTGCAGGTGACTTCAGCTGAAGTAAAAATTCTTGCTTTGGATTTAGAAAAATAGGGTTAATCAATGCCTCACCTACCTGAAATCAAAGCAAAATGCTCATAGTAAAACCTAGGTAGATTGCCTAATTTTCAGTTCCCACTGATTTTTCTCAGTGGAAAAACTGTACCTCCTCATTACACATTTTGATATGCAGATAGAGGAGGGAGACTGAACATCAAGATGACATTATGCCTATTCAGTTTGGAAAAAGATGAAACTAAAATGAATCAGCACCCTTTATATTCACGTTTTATATTATTTGCACAACAACCTCTGTTTGACAATGTTTTCATTCAGTCCCAATTTTGAAGCCTAATCAGTATGAAAAATATTACATCCTGTGTATTAGAATATTCAAACATTTCAAAGCTATGTGGTTTGCATTACTTCAGATTCCTTAAATGCTATCAATTTGTGAATAATGGAACTTGTTAAAGATTAAAAAGAGATCAGTCACTTGGTTGCCATGCCTCAAAGTGACCAGTTGAACTCCAATTTTATCCTAATAAACTTGAACAAAAATAATTTCACTTCGGAACTAAGAGGCATAGCATGCATAAAAGGACAATTGAGGAAAATACCAAATTAGAATTTTTTAAGGCAATAAAGCAATTCCTGTAATACAAACCAGGAATCTTTATGAAAACAAATTCTCTCAATTGAGCTTCCTCTAGTGAAGGTGGTCTGAAAATTTTCCTTAGGGAAATATAAATTAAACAGTAGATATGTCTGCTACAGAGGTATGCACTGTCTACTTGAGATATTTATAAGCCTTGCTCTTCAATTTCTTAAAGCAGTAATATGTCCTCATGGGAATAAGGCAAAAAGGAGTAAAACAAGAGTGAAGGGCAAGCAAATATTCTTCAAGAGTTACTGGCATCATGGTAAATCATTAGTCCAGGAATAACTGTACAGGAAGGGCTTAGGGATGTCAATATTGTTAGGAGGGGAATGGCTGGTGACTTAACCTGAGCTAACTTTAGATAGAAGTGCATTGATTTTGCTTAGTTTTCACCGTTATTTGGAGTAGCTTTGGGAGGCCCTGCTAAAGATTTTGGGGAAGGTTAAATTATCTCTTATTCCCACCCCCAAGTCCTCTATTGGTAAAAAATGCTTTCAAAGCCTTTGTGGTCCTATGGCTAGGAATAACTGGAGGAATTTCTAGGACAGACAGCATTTTCAGAAGTGATTGTTTGGGGCCATCTTGATCAGAATCACTGGGGCATGACTTATTATAACTGCAGGTTCATGGGCCTCCTCCAGAATTAATGAATAAACATTTGAGGAGTTTCTGACTCAGCATTTTTAGCAAACTCTCCCAAGTGATTTCTATGTCAAACGTGACGGTAGACAGAGATTTGTAGGCAAGTGTTTGCTGGGCACAAATTCTCCCCAGATTTATTCTGTTTAGACGATAATGCCGTTACCTCAGATGGTGATTTAGAAAAGAGATTTCAGAGCAAAATAACAAATTTAGTTTGGACATTTTGAACTTTTTGGATATACAGATTAAAATATTAAATAGTTGGTTAAACTCATAAATAAGGCTGGGGTGTAGGTTCGATTTGGAACCTCCAGTCAAGGGTTTGGTTAAAGTAATTAAAATAAATGAGCACCCTAAGGGTTTAATATAAACATTTTATAAAGAACTCATACTATTCAACACTGGAAAAACAAACCCAATGAAAAATGGGAAAAAGACTCAAATAGACATTTCTCCAAAAAAGTCATAAAAATGGACAACAGGTTTATGAAAATATGCTCAGCATCACCAATTCTCAGGACAATGTAAACCAAAATTACTAAGAAATGCCACCTCATACCTATTAGGATGGCTGTTACCAAAATGTCTACAGATAAATGTTGGAGAGGGTGTAGAGAAAAGAGTACTCTTGTACACTGTCAGTGGGAATATAAACTGCTACAGCATTATGAAAAACAGTATGGAGGATGGCAGGAAAATTTAAAATAGAACTACCATATGATCTAGCAATCTCTCTTTTGGGCATCTACTCAGAAGGAAGTGGAATTACAACTTTGTAAAGATGTCTGTATTACCATGTTCATTGTAACATTATTCACCATAGCCAACATATGGAAACAACTTAAGCATTCATTAATGGATAAGTGTATAAAAATGTGGTACATATATTCAATGGAATATTATCCAGTCCTAAAAAAGAGATCTTGTTTTTTGCCACCATGTGAATGAGCCTGGAGAACATTATGCTATGTGATATAATCCAGACACAGAAATATTTCATAGTTTCACTTACATGCAGAATCTTTTCTTAAAAAATCACATATACAGAGATAGAGAACAAAACAATGATTACCAGAGGCAGGGATGGACTGGAGGCATGGGGATATGTAGGTCAAAGGATACAAAGAAGCATATATATATGTGTGTGTATATAGCAAATATATATATATATATATATATATGATGAACAAGTCTAGAGATCTAATGTACAACATGAAGACTATAGGTAATAAAATTATACTATGGGATTCATGCAAAATAAGCAGATTTTAGCTACTCTTGCCATGAAAACAAAAAAAAGGTATAGCTATATGAAATGATGGATATGTTAATTTGCTTCACTATTGCAAACTTTTTACTAATTAAATGTATATAAATATTGTGTTTAATTAAGAAAATATGAGTTTATGGCATGCATTGTGTACGGTATACATAACCTCATATTGTCTCTATTAAACACAATATTTATATACATTTGTATTTTAAAAAGAGTAACATCTTTAGCAGAATTAAAAATGCAAACTAAGAGTCTCCACCTCATACCTACTAAATCAGAATTTTTGTAATTTGAAGTTTAGGGAGCTCCATTTTGATAACATTTTCCAGCTGGCTTCCTTTGTACACTAAAGTTTGAGAATCATCACTCTAGGTAGAAGAGAAGTAAGTTGAGAATGAACCTCAGGGAATTTACTCACTTTTAAAGAACAAGAAAAATGTAAAATGAAGAAAAAATGGTTGGTTAGGAGGAACAGTTAGTGAGGAGGGGATCCAGGGGGGAATGGTGCAGCAAAACCCAAAGGAGTAGAGAGTTTCAAAAAGATGAACTGTCAAAGGCTATGATGAGGTCTAATGCCTTGCTATTCAAAGTTTAGTCCACTAATACCAGCTTAGACGTTCCATAGGAGCTGGTTCTAATGCAGAATCCCAGATATCACTCCAGTAAACTGAATCACAGTCTTCATTGCAACAAGATCCTCACACACATTTAAGTTTTAGAAGCATTGTTGTCACTCATGAAATTTGCAATTTAGTTGCTGGTGAACTGACAGTGAACAGTTTCAGTGCAGCAGTTGGGGTAGGGCAGGATGACTGTGGTGGTTGGAAAAACGAATGGGAGATAAAGAACGGGAGGCGAGTACAGTGCTTTCTATACACCCAGAACAAGGGTCTTCTAACAAAGACAGTGATCACAAGACCATCTTTTCAATTCCGAGAAATAGAATAGGAGCAGAGGTAGAAAGTGAGCCTGGCTTGCTCCTGCAGATCTCTACCTTCCACCATTCATCTGACAGGCATGATATGATGGGAGTATCACAGGCTGATATTGATAGAGGAAGATGTTTTCCGAAGGAGCAGTGACAGTTGGGCCCTTGATGGCCATGGGACCTCAGCTGCATGTTGTCTTTCTTGCCTGAAGCAAAGGTAACAGACCGTCTGAGAGTGTGTCTGAGTGACTTTAAAAATCTTTCATAACAAGGGAAATCATACAAAATTTCTAAAAGTTAAAATACCATTGATTAGATAATAACATGTTATTAAAAAGCTGAAAATGGAAATCAGCCTAAAGAGTAAAATAATGGCCAACTTTTAAGGAAGTCTAAAATTAGAGCAGATTGTAATAGAAAGGGATTTCAATATTTTCTGTATAAGCTGGGTGAAGTTTCTTCCATTGAGCTGTAGAGATCATGTTTGGGGATAATATAATGACTGCTAAGGAAATAGATGAGGCTTGGCACCGACCAAATGATTAAATAAAAAATTTTGATACCTAACTGTCCAAAGAGACTATCTTAATAAAACCTATATTTTTGAAAGTCAGAAATTTGCCAATTGAGTGGAATTAAAAAGATCTTAAGGAGTGGTAGTACAGATGCATCAAAAATTATGTAGGTCAGAATCAAGAAGACCCTTGCAAGAGACCAAAGTAATAAAAGCTAAGACCTTCAAATATGTTAAAAATAAGCTGAAGCATCAGTGGAACTATTTAATGTCTCTAGTCTCATAACATATCAAGGGACCTAAACAAACAGAGAAAAGTTATTTTTATTTCAGTCTTTATTGAGGAAGTCATTAACTAACTCTTAAATTGGCTTTTGAAATTGAGATTCAGAGATATCAAACCCAAACATGATAAAGAGCACTGAGACTGCTCTTGACCAAATCAATACAGGGGAATAAGTAGATCAATACATCTTGGTGGCAACCACCTAAATGCTTGTAGGAACTCAAAGATAAAATTTGGCACAACTGGCCAAAATATTTTGCATGCTGCTATAAATTCCCAGAGGTGTGGAGAGACTAATAAACCTCCAGTGTGGTCTGTGTCCTTGTAAGAAGACCATGATAATCAGACAGTAAGAGATGCTCAAAGATATTTCATAAAATCACTTGCACTGATGCCAATTAGTAAGAATTTACTTATTAGTTGCCTACAAAAATAACAATGCACTTCTAAAGTATGAATTCAAAGATGTTTATTGAGCATTTTTATGTAAAGATATT